ATATATATATATATATATATCAGTGAGAGGAAAGCAAGAATGGTGTTAATCACTCAACTTTCTGCTTCACATATAGTTGTGATAACATATAGATGAGTAACAGAAATTAATATTTTTCATTATTTTTACTTTAGATTTAGTTATTTGGGTGTAATGTTCGTAATATAATTCCTTTGTTTAGGTTACTTCAATGTTATGTTTCAGATATCAGTCTGCAACTTCAGTGTCATTTCACAGGTGCACATGGGCAGCACAATTTGAGCATAAAACTGTTCTTCAGAAGGATATGGTTCTAAATAGAACTAGTAAAGAATCTCTACAGAACCATATTTTTTTAGAGTGTACTAAAAGCATACTGGTTGAACAAGTCAAATTAACTGTGTGGCTTACAAACAAAAAATAACATTTATCTCTTTTAAACAATCACTTAGTCTCAGGCAATTACTCTGAAAGTAATCAGAGAAAGCATCAGTTCAGCATAATTTTACCAAGGCAAGAGAGCTGAAGAGTAAAAGACTCCCAAGTGAGTTGAAATGTGCACATATAGGCTGAAACGGTTTTTCACTCTCATGAGAACTGTACACAATGCATATGGTAGCAGGAAGAAAGTCAACAACTCTTAAAAACTTTTCTCTTTTGCAAAATGCCTAACATCATTTCCATGACGGAATTTTGGCACACTGTGTAAAAATGTATCTACAGTAACTAACAAAACCAGTTCAGCAGCTGAGATCAACTTTCACATACTTCACTTGTTCCTATTATTTGACAGATGAAAATAGCTCAGGAAACCCACACATTGTGTTAAAACGCAACCCACTTGATCAGAGACCCATTACCAAATAAAACTGTCAGCAAACTGAGAACAATTCTGAAAAAAAGTGACAGATTGTGAGTCCACTGCAGTGTGGTACAGAAACTCCAACGCATTACAGTCTGAGAGCTTGATTCTGGGAATCGAGTGAAGCAAAGTTCATTCTAAAGATCAAAGATTACTTTGAAAGATTAAATACACAATTAATGTGACTATAAATTCACAAGATAGAATAAATTATTATGAACTATATGGAAATTGCAAAACTTTTTTTTTTTTACATTGAAAAGACTTCAATTTGAAATGTTTCAGGGTTGTTGCCTTTAAAGGCATAGTTGAACCAAATATAAAAAATCTGTTATAATTTACCCTCATGTTGTTACAAACCTGTATGACTTTTTTTCTTCTGCAGAACACAACAGAAGATAGTTTGAGGAATGTTGTAACCAAACTGTTTTGGTGACCACTGAATTACAAACAAACAAACACGCACACACACACACACACACAATAAACAAGATATTTCCCTAAATATTTTTTTTAATGTTCCACAGAAAAAAAGAAAATCATTTGGGTTTGAAATGACATGAAAGTGTGTATGACAGACAGACAGAAATAAATTACATTTTAATATATATTTAAATAGAAACCAGTTATTTTAAATAGTAAAAACATTTCACAATATTACTGTTTTTGCTGTATTTTGGATCAAATAAATGCAGGTTTGGTGAGAAAAGACTTCTTTAAAAAACAAAAAAATATTACTGTTCAAAAACCTTTGACTGGTAGTGTATGTATGTATGTATCACACTCATATCACATCTAGTTGTTTTGGATAAGAATAAAACGTCAGGTCTGACAATTAAAT